TACATCGTTGTTAGAACATGTGCCCGAGTGATCAAAGGTATGCGATTAGGGAATTACGACTTTCCATCGTTTCGGGGACCGTTCGATGCCACTTTTCAGATTTAAAGTTTTTCTGGTTATTTCTAAATGATTAACTGTTCCTTCACGTTATGTCCAAGGTTGTAGTGAGGAAACATGCAAATGGTCATCAATTTGTAATCTGAGACCTCACGAATGTGCAGAGTAGGGCTTGCGTTTGCGTCGTCTGGAAACTCGCTTATAGCTCTTCTTTTTGCCAACTTAAGAACATTTCTTCAGGAGAAGCCCACTAAGTTAGGAATGTATCTAATTTTGTTAAAAGTTTTCAATCTAAATTACGTCAAAACTTGATGTGCGTGTTGTCGCTACCTGCACTGTCTGTTAACAACGGTGAGGTGTTATGAGCTGAATGGTAACAAAAAGCGAAGAAGAGTTGGTTTCGGTCCACTTATTCTCTTAATCGAAGGATTTTTCGTCGTTAGTAACGGATAGTGGAATTTCGATCGTTCAGTTGCATCGGAGATAATTCGATGGATCAGTTTCACAGATATCTAAGTAAGGTCCCGGATTGGAGAAATATGCCTTACCTTTAGCCTCTTTTTCAAAGCGAGTCCTGGTGCTCATCCTTGCATATGATAATAGGTTATCATTCACATGTAAATTAAACTCATTTTCCCAAGAATGGTTAAGCACTAGACCTCGTTTTTTAAAAAGAGGCCAAAGTTAATTTGAAATGGCTTATCCAAGTCTGCATTGCATTTTTAACTTGTGAATATGCAAATTGTATTAACATGTTTTTAAGGTGACCCAAAGATGCTGATGAGTCACTCAGTCATTAAGTTGTAGGTATGCTGTTAACCAAGTTGCAAGCCTTTTCTCTGTTTCTTCTCTTTAACTTATCAAGTAGAAGTTATCCTGATCTAACAGCAAATTCTCACAACTAATCTATAAGGAAATGTGAAGCAGCTAGAGGGGAGAATTAACAATCAGATCTTGGAATTACTAAAAGTGGAATTAGACGCAACTGGCAGTGGGGGGTGTTGACAAAATCCAGACTGGATCGGATCGGATTGACAAGACCTGGACTGGATCAGATTGGGTTAACAAAACCTGGATCGGATTACATCCAATTGACAAAACCCGGACCGGATCCAAAAAAATTGGATCATGAGGTGTTATACCATAAAAACGAAATGAACAGTGAATACAGGTTGTAGAATTAAAAACAAATTCAATCAATTTTAGTGAAAGAACGTACCTCATAATTTATTGGAGCTGTCCGCCAGTAAACTTGGAAAATATCCAGAATTCCATACAAGTTCTGCAGCTTTAAAGTGCACCTACACCCAAAAAAATTTTTTCGCTTAACGAAGTAAGCTTATTTTTTTGAGTATTTCTGCGCAAAAATTTTTTTATTTGCTCAAATCTTCAATTTTCTATGCCCAGTCAAAATACGGAAAATCGGCCGCCATCTTGCCCCACGACCGAGTTTAAAGAAGAATGGCTCTAGCGGGTAATGTGACGTCAAATCGAGAACACGAAAGTCTGCATCTCACACATTTTCACTTGTTTGGGAAGATTGTCGTCGATATTGTCCGAAATATGCCGACTAGGTGTGTTGTATGAAGAATGTATGAAGCGCGATACCCTCTTGCAAATTTCGCACGTTGCTACATCCTTCTACAACACACTTAGTCGGCATATTTTCGGACAATTATCGACTACAACCTTCCCAAACAAGTGAAAATGTGTGAAATGCAGACTTTCGTGTTCTCGATTTGACGTCACATTACCCACTAGAGCCATTCCTCTTTAAACTCGGTCGTGGGGCAAGATGGCGGCCGATTTTCCGTATTTTGACTGGGCATAGAAAATTGAAGATTTGAGCAAATAAAAAAATTTTTGCGCAGAAATACTCAAAAAAATAAGCTTACTTCGTTAAGCGAAAAAAATTTTTTGGGTGTAGGTGCACTTTAA